TTGTATGAATATGTGTGGCATGCATGTGTATGAAGTGCATGTGTCTTTAGCAACTAAGTATACATGTGGAATTAATTGAAATAGAAAAGCCAAGATCTATTTCCTCAATGTTTAATTAAATTCGTGAACATGTAGTAAATGAGGGATCAGAAACAAGGTATTAAAAATGTATTTTTTTAATCCCAGGATCTCTATGATGAGCCAAGTTCAAAGCATAAAGTTTCTGTCCACAGAAAAAAATTTTCTCTGTATTTTTTATATCACTAAATCTTGTTAATTTAAGCTTTATATTTATAAGAAGTGTCCAGTAATCAATTTCCAGAATGAAGCCTCGTGTGCAAAATGGAGACACAGAGGAAAAAAATGTCAACTAAATAATATCATGATCATCTTCAAAGAAAAAAAACAGTGGGGAAGAACACAGTAATAGACTTTTTCAAATATAAACTGGAAGACTGTGAAAATGTCAATCTCTCTCGGGTGAAAGATGATTGATTAAACAATTTGTGTCTATAAAGTAATATAAAAGAGAAAACCACAAAATTAGGATATCATAAGAAAGTTATCAATGTTCAATGCCATTGCTATTAAGAGAGAAAGATTAAGAAAGAATTACAACATGCTATGCATACAGGAAGTTTCATTTCTGTCCCTCCCAGAGCAATTAGCTGGCAGCTTGCTGAGGACATGTCAATTGTCCTCTCATTCCAGGAAAACACTATTTAAATTAATGAGAAAGAAAGGAAAAAGGACCATCTGAAACTGGAGGAAAATGCTCTATGCAATGATTTTCAATTTTTTCACTTTATTATGCATATTATTAATTACTAAAATTCTGTGGCGCACACACACACACATATATATATATATATATATATCTGATTTGACCAAAAATAGAAATAATTTTAATTCATTCACACCAGATGGCTATTTGCTAGGTGTTTTCACTGTTTTATTTGACCATCTAAGGGGGGAAAAGATAGTTTCCCTGACTAAATAATTAGGTATTGCATGGTTTTAACATTTTTGTTGAACACTAGTTGAAAATTGCTGCTGTATGGAATGTTTAACATCTTTTTTAACATGTCTTTTATTTTTTAATTTATTTTTAAAGATTTTATTTATTTATATTTAGAGGGGAAAGGAAGGAGAGAGGAAGATAAATACCAATGTATGGTTGCCTCTCCTGCGTCCCCTGCTGGGAACTGGCCTGCAACCCAGGCATGTGCCCTGACTGGGAAAGAATCACCATTGTTTGGTTCACAGGCCTGCCCTCATTTCACTGAGCTACACCAGCCAGGGCTGTTTAACACCTTTAAAGAGGAAGATCACACAAATTCTAAAATTGAGAGAATCCTAAGATATTAAAAGTATTTTTCATTATTTTAATTTTATTTTTTATTGTTTATATAGTCTTCATCATGTTTTTTCCATTACCATTTAGTCCCCTTATACCCTTCTCCCTTAAGCAATCACCTCACTGTTGTCCATGTCTATGAGCCTTTTTCCTCTTGCTCAGTCCCCCCACCCTCCCCTTCCCCATGACTGCCATGTGCTCTCCATCTACCAGTCTGTCTCTGTTTTGCTTGTCAGGTCAGTTTGTTTGTTAGAGTTCAAGTAAGACCTTTTCCCTTCCAAGAAGGACACTTGCCTATATTACTTAAAATCATATTTAAGTAGGGAGACTCCAAAATGTTTCTGCACAATAATTTTAGCCTGAAAAAGATTAGAAAGTGTTTTATGTTACTTATTTTTATTTTTCAATGTATTTTAGAACAAAGAGTTTATTTTTTCTTTTGAAATTGATCAGTCCCATAGTATCCAATGTGCTATAATTCTCGCTTGTTTTTTTTTTTTGGTCTGAATAAAAATACAAATTATCAATGAATATGGATCTTCAAGATACATTTTCTTCTGGGTCCAAATGAGGATATAAATTGCTAATGAATATTATGTGAAAGTGCCATATAAATATTTATGCAACATATCAAAATCAGTTTATCTAGATCACCATTGAAGAATCAAATTACTCGTAATTAAAAGACTTTTTACTTAGGATAAGAGATCTAATTTATAAAATATTCAAGTGATTAAAAGTAATAAAAGAAAGTAAATTCCAAGTGAGAGGAATTCCAAATGTGGTTATATTTTTGTACGTGCTTATGAATCCTATTTTGGAACAGAGAAGAGGGAGAAACATAAAATTTGTTGTTCTTAGACCATTCCTAGAACAGGTTTTTTCCAGCAAACAGGTTATTTGCTAGTACTTAAAGATAATTTCCCAAATTTGTGTTAGCTTTTAAAAATGTTTCCTCATCTAGTTTTCATTGCATTTGACAAATGTTTACTGAGTTAACTCAGGATATTACAAATTAGGTAAGATTTTCTTTGTTCAGGAAACAATTGCAAAGTCTACTGCCTTGAATAAAAAGGGGAGAGTCCTGCAAGAATCATATTATTTAGCTTTTGAAAAAGTAGACTTATTTAATACAAACAAAATAACTTGTCTATAAAAAGTAAAATACAATGGTCAAAGATGCTTCTATCATAAACAAATGCAACTTGAAATTTAGGAATGCACATGAAACAAAATGAAAAAACCTCTTATTCAAAAATTTTTCTGGTAAAAAATAGGCATCTCAGATTGTTTCCTTTAAACTGAAAATTCTTAGTTTCAACATTATAGGCTAAATTTAAGAAAAAGTTTAATATGAATCAACAATACATAAAATAATAAGTTGTAATTTTTAAAAAGTAATGTACTTCTGAAAGACAATGCATCTCAAAATTTATCTTACCACATCGCAAATTTAGTTATGCTGAAAATTTAAATTTGCATTTTGCACATAGATGTGATTCTAGCATATCTCAGTAATTACACTAAATTCTAGTAATTCTTTACAGGAAATTTGGGCACATATAGAATTTTGGTGTATGATTGTGTGCTAAGCTATATTATCCTTTGATTACCAAATAACAGATAGATTGAAGCTTCCCTCAAAAACTTTGCCTCATGCTACAGATGTAACAAAATTGTTTTTATGTCAATTTTATGCAGATGTTCAGAAAGAACATGTTCTGAGAACAAGGGCTTATTCACATACAGATAAGAATTCATACCTATATGCCATCAATAAATTTACATTAACAATGTCTAGGTTAAGTAAAAATAGTGCACTATATCTACAATAAAATACTTCATGTACCAATTTGTCTTTTAATAAACCTACAAACACAAAAATATATTAGTTTCAAAACCTTGGTTTATTCCTCCATGGTTATTTGTTTTTCTGAACTGTGGGCCTATGAAATGAAATATCTTTCTTATGAACCCAATTCCCTAAAAATAAGTCATGTTTCTGGATTTATTGGATAGGAAGAAATAACTCATATCTTAGAGTAAAAAGATTGTATTACAAACTAGCTCTGCAAATGTGTCATAGTTATCTACCCTTTGGGGTTGAAAAGATGTATTATGACATCATAGCTTTCTTAGTAGTTACAAGTCACTCAACCTAATTATTTTATTTGATCAAAATCTGAGCAAAGTTTCTATTGCAAGATTAGTAGAATTAGCTTGTCTTACAGAAAGCTTGGACAAAGGTAGAGAATTCTCTCCAGATGACTTTAGAGAGATCAGTTGGTCATTAGGTACCCAGCTTTCTGGCTGGAAGAACCTAATTGTCCTCAATAGAACACAGCTTCCCAGGAAATTTCTAAAAATGAATCACTGCTATTTTAACATAAAAGTAAGCAATGGATTTCTACATATATTCTTAAGAAAACCCTGAATGCTCTTAAATGATACAAACTAGGAGGGAATTTTCAAATCCGAAGAGAAAGAATGTTCAAAGAAGTAATAATGTTTTATGAAAGTGAGTTGTTACTACTGTAATTTATGGATATAGTCATAAATATTTTCAGAATATAATATGTGGTATATTGAAAAGCACTAAATGTTGTATATTTATAACTTAATAGGTGCTAAAGAGTCAAAAGTAAATGAGTAGAAGAGTTACACAATCAATGTGAGTATGATTTCCTCACTTTTTTCGGAGATGTTACAGTACATTTCACATACTTCTGCAGGTTTAAATATTTCCATGAAGACTTTCATCAAGTTTTCCATAATAGTCTAACATGGAAACATTTTTAAATGGACAGCTGTCATTATTGAATAGTCCTTCTAAGGGTGGCCTAGATTGATGTGAATATTTTTTGCCATAGGAATAGAGTACAATGATATTCATGTTTGTCTGTTTGTTTACTTATTTTAGGAAAGTTGATTATGCTCAACTCTATGTCAGAAAATACCTTCTACAAAAAAGTTCTTATTGGAACTCTACCTATTTTATTTTTCTTCAAAATGAAAAATGTAGAGATATTGTATACATGTTAATTATGTATTAAAACATTCAATAAAATTTACTTTAAGCCTGCCTATAATTCTATGATTAATGTATTGAGGTTCACAGCATCCAGAAGCTGAAAATAATCATAGTCACTAAAAAGGGCCGAGTATGTCTCAAACCACTTGTTTACAAAAGTGCCTGCTTTGTATCCATCACAGTGTTAGAATAAAATGCTGGCTAAGTGATCAGCCCCATTTCTCTGAATCTACCACACACAAGCACAGTCTTTCCCAAATGCTGAAACTGAGGCAGGTAACCATTAATACTTCTGAGAGGAAATAAATGTCAAGGAAAAAAACTGTATAAGAAAAAGTTATGATTACATTAAAGACAGAATAAGTAGCAACAAGTTAGTACCATTCTTGTGAAGAAATCATACTCAACAAAGGGCAATTGTGTGCTTAAAAGTTAGTGCTAACAGGGTCAAGGCAAGGTTTAAGAAATACCTCATACATCAAGGTTCTCCACGGATATGTGTATTGGTTCCTTGACTTGTTTTGGGATGTGTTTAATGAACAGACAAAGGGTCAGTTAAAGGTGGGGAAGAAATCAGTTGCAAAAGGAGAGAATCACAGCTTCCGCCCTTACCTTCCACTGAGGAGGAAGCCAATAACCACTGCCAACAAAATGACGCCAACTGTCACCGACACAGCGATTATAGGAATCTGGCTTTGATCACTGGAGGCTGCAACTGCTGATGGAATAGACAGAAAATTGAGCTTGTGGTTAATGTGATCATATGAATTCAAATAAGAGCTGCTTAATAGTCAGCAATCAATGCATGTTTTAAGCAATTCACCCACAATGACTGAGATTTTCCTTTAATATCTTTTCTCAAAAGTGTATAATTGAAAACATCTTTAGCAAAAAATATTTACTATCCAAATAAAAATAAAAAAAGTAGGTTGCTGATTATTTCCTTGTCATCATAAAATACGTGTAATTGTTTGAACAGCAGTCATCTAGGAATCTTAGGTTCATATGATAAAATGCAACTTAATCCTTGATTTCAAACATGTTAATCTGAATAGGAGGTGCTAAGTCTATGAGATTCTACATGTTTAGAATTTGCATGTGGCTCTTCTCTGGAAATACTTGTCTCATGACCTTAGATTGGACTTTTTTCAAATAAACAGATTACAGTCCAACAGGATGTGATTCTGACCTCAGTGAAGTTGAATGTAATATCACTATTCTGAATACAATTTTAAACAGTATGATTCAAAACAAAGTATGGTCAGAAAGTATATTTTATAAGTAGTACCCCTATTTGAAAAATATCAAGGCATACATTTAGAACTAAATCTGCAGAAAAATTAGATTTGTTCACATTTTTTCTTTAAAATACATGGATTTAAGAAACAAATACCATGTGATCTCATCTTTAACAGGAACCTAAACAACAAAACCAACCAGCAAGCAAAATATAACTAAAGATACTGAAATAGAGAATAGGCTGACAAATGAAATACTTTATATTTTAAAAATACAATTATAATAATAAAAGGAATATGGACAGGATTAAATAGCTATAGCTAAATAATCAGGAAAATGTTTCTTTGTGCTAATAACTGAATCCAATTAAAATAAAAAACTCAGAGAGTAAAATACATTTTGCTAATGTTCTCAAGAAACCCTCAGCAGGATACCCTGGAATGCTTACAGTTTAATGGAAATCATTTTGATAAATTCAGAGTGGCTTCAGTTCACCTCCAAGAAAAACTGCAAGTCATCAGAATTAATGGCAATACTATTTTCCAAATTTTGTTTTTACAAGCTCTTAGATCTTGGGCCAAATTTTGGCCCAGATAAGTGTTGGATTTCCAAAACACTTCTCTTTCTATTCTTGTCACCTGTCTCTTGATTCTTCCTAACCCAAACTGACAGACACTCTGACCATCTTCTTGCACTGATCTACACTTGCAGTACATTCAGGCCAGTCTTCAGAGCCCACTATCATCTGCTCCAGGGACGTGTACAAAAAAAGAAGAAAACTATTATTTAAAAATCTAAATCTATGATCTTATTTAACCCCTTCTTGGACTATGATAGTTGCAATTTAATGTCTCTTCACCCTGTTTACTCGTATTCTTTTATACTGAGGTCTGTGGTAAGTGTTTTAGTACTAGTGAGCACTGTAAATAGGGTAGAGCAAAAAAACCCAACACTATCACTAATAGACTTTCCTACAATTTGTTTTAGTAATCTCTAAACACAGATTACTTAGACCATAGATTTTTCTGTTTTATCTTTCTTTTTGGAAAGAGAATTTTTCTCTTTGTGTCTAGACAAAATTGTGCAAATGTGCCCCATATAAGTTATTTGGATTGGGCTCCAACTGCTACTTCAATGCTTTTGGGTCTTATTTATTCCAACAAATCATCCCATAATGAGTCTTTCTCATATTCTCAATGCACAAACCCATTACTACTTCTTACGTTTTAGGAATGTCAAACTTTATAGATTAAAAAAAAGTGATTGAGTCCACACTCCATTGTTAAATATAATTGCATAACCTTTTGCTTTACCTAATTCCACTGTTAGAGCCCTTTCAGTCTCTCCCAAGATGTTCCTTCAAAGATCTCTGTCAAAAAGGAGTGCTCATTTCCTCTCATTCTCACTTCTTTTTTGGTTACTTTTCTGCTACCTTCAGGCCAGAACACACATCTCCTCTTCAAGAAACAAATTCTTATACCTAAATTTAGTGACATCAGTTCAACTTGAGTTTGAAAACAGGTTCAATATTTACTAGACCTGTGGGCCAAGGTAATGATTTAACCATGTAAATTCTCATTTCATTAATTTCTAAATAGGGATAATTTCCTGGAATGATCATAGTTCTTTTAAGATTAGAGATTACACATAAAAGCACTTAGTGTGGAACTTCAACTACTGCAGGCTTAAATAAATTGTAAAGATTGTTTCTACATATTGTTATCTTCTGTTTAATTTGCCATCATTATTTTTTCTTATTTTTCAGTGTATCGACTGACTGATCTAGACCTATCCTCTTCATCTGAGACCCAACTTTATTAAGGTCTCTGAGACTTCTCTTACTCCTTTGAGCTCTATGCATGATGTATTTGCTAAATGCAATGAGTACTTCTCCATTTACCTCCATGTGCATTACAAAGGTATGTGATGTTGTTGACCATATAGTTTATTTTTGAACCTCCCCTCCTCTTGAGTTGCATAACAGCAGATAAGCCATATTCTCTTCTTCCCACTCTGAAGCACTGCTTTTCCAGGTTTGTTGGCCCTGCATTCTCTTTCTACACCTTATAAGTGAGCGGTTCCTGAAAAATGCTGGCTCCTGATCATCTATACTTCTCTCCACCTCTCATTTTCTGTCTTTCTCTCTTCCTATGTCCTTTTTAACCTCCCTCTCATAAATACTTCTTTGCTCCATGACACCAGTTAACTATAAATTGGAGAGTTAGCCCCAAATGTATGTCTCCAACTCTTATATCTCTTCAAAACACCACTGTATTTTGAAAAGACTGTTTTTCCTTTATTTAGATTTTATTTTTGCATGAAAATGAACTTGTATAAAATTAGCCCTTATACTTCATCTATCTTCAAGAGCCTTAAAAATCCATCCATAAATAAACATACAATAAATCAAACCAGACAAATTCAATCTCTTTTTTTAACTACCACTAAATTTTCTTAGTGCCTACTTACCCATTAACTGCCAAATATGTTGTGGTTTTTTATGGTTTGTTCATGTTTTATTTTTTTCCCTAATACCACATTCACCAATTTGATTAAAATCTGATGGAAAATATATACAGGTCTTTTAAAGATGAAGGTATTAAAGTTTGTAAAGTCATACTACTAGAATATGATCCATAATGCTTTAAGTGTTTTCTTTGCCTCCAAAGTACACACATACAATGTTCAAAAAGGTAGCTTTAACCTTGTTTCTCTGATCAGTAAATTAATAGATACTTACTACCTAAGGAAGAAAATTTCCAGTTTCTCCCAGTGTGGTTGGGAAATCACACAAGCAATATGCACTACTAATGATACCAAAATGGAAACAAGGCCTATGAGAGTGGCCAGTTTATATAACAAGCCTTGTATCAGAAATCTAGTTTAGGGTACAAGGTGTGAGGTTAAATCATCGATCCATTGTCAATATAAAAACTTTGAGATTAATTTATTCTTTACTAAAGAACTTTTCTGAATTGTATTAAGTGTTCAAATATTAGTTTCAATTAAACCTCAGACATAGGATTTTTTTCATAGAAATATGACTTATAATTTTGACATGGTACCATAGTCTTTATAAAATTAAATAACACTTAAGGAGCTACTTTTTAAATAATAAAAAGTTATCTTCTAGATAATTTAGTCAACATGCTCTAAAAGAGTTTACTTGATTTTTCTAAATATCTGTATTTCAAAGGTTTGTTAAAATTTGAATTTAATGATTTTTCTAATCATTACAAAGTGAATCTGATAAGTAAGCACTCATTTTGTTGGTTTTCAAGAGGAGGGAGTATGCATTTTATTATATTTCAAAATCACTAATTTTTATATAGCTTGGCTTTTTATATTGTCTATAATTATGTACATATAAACAAGGAAGTCATTATCTTCCTCTAATCCTGCTTTTAAAGACAAGTAATTAAAATATTTTGTTCGACATTAAAGAGGAAAATTTTTGTGCTATTTTATGGAAAAATGGCACAGAAATGGTTTTCTAGAAATATTTCTATATCCTTCATCCAGAGATGCTGCCAGGGATTTTGCTTTTTTAGCAGCAATCAGATTAGTTTCTGAGAGCACTATTTTCTTGCCAAATTCAATACTAAGGAAAGCTCCCTGTGGAGTTGTCATAGAAAGACTAAGCCTCATACCATTGTTCAATAAACCAAGTAAAAGGTAAATGGCCATAATTCAATAAGGTATGGGAGCAGAGGGGAAAAATCTTTAAAAGCAAGATTTAAACATTTCTTGAGGATCTCCTGATGTTTCATCCCCCAGTAGAATTAATCCGATGAGGAGTAGGGACCAAAGTGTTAACCTGCTAACCAACCAAAATAGTATGACACAGCCTTCCTACCTGAAAGGGTCACAACTGGGAGAGAGAAAAGGCGTCAAGAGTGACAGAATGCCTGGGGAGAGTATTGATCCACTGGCTCTTTTCTGGGAACCATTACAGAGATATGAGTTGACAGTAATTAAAATGACTTACACACTGGGATGGTTTCAAACTCAAATCTTCGACTGAAGACACCGTAGCCTGCTGCTGTCCGTGCTCGAATTTGGAAGATGTACACTGAAGCTGGTTTCAAGCCCTCTGCAGTTATGGTTGTCTCTTTAGATTTGATAATCGTGTAGCTGGTCTCTTGGTCCTTGGGTGAATCATGTTCATACAATAAAAGAGTCATCGTATGATTTACTAGTGATAGCAAAACTTAGAATCATAGATAAGAAAACAAATGAAAAACTAATATATTTGTTCTTAGTACAAATATAATGTTTTAGAAAAAAAAGCACATACACAGTCTAGGTGGGCTAGTTATAATGTTGTCTAGAGCTCATACATGGTAGGTGACAGATTCTTCATCTGTCATACTCACCCGTCATCATCTATCATCTGTCCTCTATCATACTCATCTTTGGCAAAAATAAATTTGCAAAGTTAAAATACAATTTTAAGGAGATACATTATTTTACATACTCTAGTACTGTTATTTTTGTGCTTGTTTATATCATAAATGTTCTATTGGAGCATATTGAACATGCTGTCTACTCATAGAAAAGGGTGACAGGGCCTCATACACTACCACATACACTACCAGGTAAGACTCACACTTTATATCTTTAGTGAATTTGATCCAAAATCATATGAAGGGCTTGGCAAAAGGAATGAGAACTTCACTAGAGAACTTTCATTTCAGTTTCCTAAGTCTAAATGAGTATTTTAAAAAATGTATACGAGCTAATTTATTTTCATTTAAAAAACTATTTTACTAATTTTAAACCTTTTTTAACTTTTATAATTTGTGTGAAATGAGTAGTGAATGGAGATAGAGGACAAACAAAATAATTGGAAATGTAGTTTGAGAACATACAAAAGAGGAACTGGTTTTATTGTGATTGCTGGGTAGAGTCTAGGCTAACACCTGTAACTCCTCATGTCTCTGAAGTTACTATGCTGAATATAAAATCTTAGACTTATAAAAATTTAAAACACACAGTTCCTGCTTTGAATCTTCTCCTGTCATATTTTTCTCTGTGAATTCTTGACTAAACTTATCTTTCCCTTAAGGAGTTTCCATATGTATTACTACAGTCTATCTAATTTGATAGAAATTAAAGAATAAATTAAAGTATTGCTTACATATTCTTTTATCTTTTTTAAGAATTGCCCTCTAATTACAATAACTTGATTGATGTACTGTAAGCCATCGTTTTTGAAACATTTCAGGGAATTTTGTGTTTACAAATAGAACTATTCAGTGATTTTTTTAAAAGATCTGCTCTGGCTGGTGTAACTGAGCACGGGCCTTCGAACCAAAGGGTCACGGCTCAATTCCTAGTCAGGGTACATGTCTGGGTTGCAGGCCTGTGCCCAGCAGGGGGCACATGAGAGGCAACCATACATTGATGTTTCTCTCCCTCTTTCCTTCCCTTCTCCTTTAAAGATAAATAAATAAAATCTTTTAAAGCATCTAATGGAAATAACATGTAAAGTCTTTTTTATCCTAAGAGAAAAATACTAAAAACAAAAATATAACATTTATTTCTCAAGAAATCTATAAGGAATATGGTTATTGTTTACCATTCATAATGCTATTCAAATGCAAAACAAAAGCAAAGCACACTCCTTCTCCCTTGAAGTTTACAATCAATCGATGGCAGCATGCCACATGCATTACTTTAGTGAGAACACTGAAATCACCTGCTAAAACACAGCAAGTTCATTCTAATTTTTATCTCCAGCTTTTACTCAGTAAAATTAGGGTAGATAATTGGTGTCTGGATATTCTCAGAAATGTTGTAAAAATAAAATAGGTAACATATGTGAAAACACTCACGAAACTAAAATATGTTTTTCGTCATACTTACAATTTTAATTTTAATAATTTGACACATCAAGTCATCTTCTATCTATGCATACTACCAGCAACACAATCTAAAATACTCTTATAAACATTCTCTTATAGCAGTTTTGTTATCCGCCATTGAATATCATCAAACATATAAAATTATTTGCAGTTTAGGTATATTCTAACCTCTCTTAATGAGTATAATTTCTAATACTGGTCTAATGTCTAATCCAAATAGGTTTCCTGATTAATTCCATGCAAACGATTGATCTTTATATTTGTTAGCACAAAGATTAAAATAGTACCTAATCTTTAAAGTGTTTAGGATTTTTTAAGAATTTTCCAAAGCATTGACAGTAGATAATTACTTTCAGCCAAGATGGAAGTGCATGTAGACATGTTTCACCTCCTTGCACAGCCATAAGAAAGATCATAACTAACTTCAAAAGAGAAAACAACCAGAGCTACCAAAATATTGAACTGTATGGAAGTTCAGTAACCAAGGATTTAAAGAACAAATATTCACCTACATTCACACATGGCAGATAAAAATAGTGGAGGGCACCTGGCAAGCAAATGACCCCAGACCCAGGCTAGACTGTGCAGCCCAGAGTTCCAGCACCTGGAAAGTAAAACCTTGTAACTTCTGGCTATAAAAACCAGTGAGGATTAAGGAGGCAGAAGAAACTGCTAGTCTCATAGGAGAGTCTGTTTAAAGGACCTGCACAGTCCTAGAATTTATGCAAATGTACCCAATCTAGAATTCAGCACCAGGGTAGCAGCTAGAAGGGCATCAGTGACATGCCAGAAGTGGGGGCAGTGAGTGCAAATGTAGCAAGAGCAACGAAAAAGCATTGTTCCCTCCTTGACCCCTCCCCCATATACACTACCATAAAGTGGTGAAGAGGGTTGCCCTAACCTGGCAAATACCTAAGGCTCTGCCCCTTACAACCTAACAGGTATGTTAAGAAAGGGAGTCAGAGAACCTCTACCTAATACACAGACACAAACACAGAGAGGATACCAAACTGAGGAGAAAAAAGAAATATGGCCCAAATGAGAGAACAAAACAATCAGAAAAAGAGCTAAGTGAAACAGAGATAGCCTACCTATTAGGCGTAGAGTTCAAAACACTGGTGGTAAGGATGCTCAGAGAACCCCTTGAATATGACAAACACATAAGCAGAGAAATGAAGGCTACACTAAATTCACAGGGAATCGAAGAAAAATTCACAGGGAACCAACAGTGAAGGAAGGAAGTCAGGGTTCAAACCAACAGTTTGGGACATAAGGAAGCAATAAACAGTTAACCTGTACAAAATGAAGAAACAAACATTTTAGAAAAAAGAAAACAAAACAAGGAAAGAATGAAGAAGGCTCTAAGACATCTCCAATTGTGCAAACACCCAAATCATAGGAATGCCAGAAGAGAAGAGAAAGAGCATAAAATTGAAAAACATACTTACTTGAAAAAATGAAAGAAAACCTCCTTAATTTGGAGAAGGAAATAGACATATAAGTACATGAAGCACAGAGAGTACCAAACAAGTTGGTCCCAAACAGGACCACACCAAGACACATCATAATTAAAATGCCAAGGGTTAAAAATAGAGAATCTTAAAAGTAACACGAGAAAAGCACAGAGTTACCTACAAAGGAGTTCCCATAAAACTGTCAGCTGATTTCTTTAAGGATACTTTGTAGGCAAGAAAGGACTGATAAGAAGTATTCAAAGGATTGAAAAGGAAGGACCTACAACCAACATTACTCTACCCAGCAAAGCTATCATTGAGAATGGAAGGACGGATAAAGTATTTCCCAGACAAAGTAAAGCTAGAGCTCATCATTACCAAGCTAGTATTACATGAAATGTTAATGGGACTTATTCACAAAAAAAGATCAAAACTATGAATAGTAAAATGAGAACAAACTCACAACTATCAATGACTGAATATAGAAAACTAACAAAAAGAAAATTTTAAAAAAAACTAAACAACTAGAACAGGAACAGGATAATAGAAATGAGATCACATGGGGGGCTGTTAGCAGGTAGGAGGAAGCGGGTAAATGGGGAAAGGTACAGGGAATAAGAAGCATAATTGGTAGGTACAAAACAGACAAGGGGAGGTTAAGAATAGTATGGGAAATGGAAAAGCTAAAGAACTTATATGTACAATCCATGGACATGAACTAAGGGGGAAATGCTAAGTAAGATCAATATTGCGCAGACGGGACAAAGGGGAAACGTTGGAACAACTGTAATAGCCTGATCAATGAAATATACCTAAATACAAACATGTAATGAGTATATAATTTTATAAATTAAAATAAAGTAGATGATTAAGTCCTGTAAAACTTTACATACTAATGTAATTTTCTTCATTTATGGATCTTCTGTCACCTACTCTAATGCCTCTTTTACATGCTAAGGAGACAGATTTAGAAAAGCAGGCATTATCTTGATATGTTCCTTTAAAAGAGGTAAATAGCTTCTATAAACTATTGAGGTTACTGATGTTCTGAGAATGCTTAAGGTTGTGAGTGAATATGCAAGACTTTCTTGATAGTATTATACTTTGCAGTTTGGCTGTGATTAAGGCAGTAATTTTTAGTTAGAAATGATAAAATATCTGTTTGCTAATATTTGCAAAATTTTAAAGGGAATTTAAGTTAGGAAAATCTAGATAAGACTAAAGTTAAGATTTGATATATTTGATGGTTATGATTTTTACATAAAATATTAACATGTATAATGTAGAGAAGATGCTCTATTCATGAAAGAGCACAGGAATGTCCATGTTAGAATTTCAGCCACATAATTCAAGTATGTGTGTAAATGGGAGTACACAACTCAACCTCAGTTTTTTCTTTCAGATGTTAAATACAAAAAGCCCTTCAAAGTGAGAAGCAAAAAGCATTTACTTGAAGTCAAAGAACAGCTATTCGGTAAAGCACTGATTCAGGCAGAAGCTCAAGTACTGTTCTGATTAGGAAATAAGTGTGAGGGGATGTTATGAGTAAGGAAGAAGAGCAATTCCATCAATAGAAGGAAGGCATTTCTATTGATGCAAATAAGCTAACAAAGTTATGTCAACTCTAAAACTTTTTTTTAAATGTTCAGATTGGTAGTCATCAGACCGATAGTCCTACATATTCTTGTTATCTTTACAAAGTGTTCTTTGGGATACAATACTGCTTTAGGCCCAATCCAAAGGTTATTATTTGTCCTGTTTTAACATTTCAAAGGTTCCAGCCCTAAGGTGTGTAAGGCCTTTCCTCTGGCAAAGCAGCTCAGGCCCCATTTTTATGTAGCTTCATTTTTTAATTTTGACACTTAAAACGGGATGAAATTATTTATGAAGAGCATGTGAGCACACAGAGAGATATGGAGATAATATACATAGCACCCAGCAAAATCTTTATAATAAATTTGATCTGAGCCTTCAGCATGATGAAATTTTCTTCTATAGAAAAGAAAAACAAAAAAAGCTTACAAGGTTGGAAGTCCTAACTAATGAAGTCACGAGTAGCACATTTTGTGAAAAATTGCAAATCAATACTGTTGTCAAAAGAAGAGAAGAAAAAAGGAATTGCAAGGAACCTGGAAAACTGCTCCTTGAAATAATACAGTTTCTAATATAAGTTGAAGAAAATTATGCAACACTCAGATTTGTCTGTTAACACTGTACATATCCCAGTGGTTCTTTATCACAGGTCTAATTATATACATTGTCTCTTAGAGTGAGTTGAACACTATTTTATTGAAGGGACTTAGCTAAACATGTATCTAAGGGATCAAAACCCACAAATGCACATTTCAAATTATCTAAATATCTTCCAAAATTTGCCTCTCCTCCATTCCTTTCAATCACTGTTTTATTTTAATTTCCTACATATCACAAACCTATATACACCGCTTTAAAATCCACAGCTACATGACAGTGGGCTGCCAAGTCTTTGGTTGGTGAAGCGGCTTTTGCTGACTTCTTGCTCCCCCTCACTGAGCAAATGAGCTACATTTCCCCAGCTCCTTAGCAAAGCTCTTCACATGCAGGGAGGGGAGGGCCTCCGCAGAAGCCAGCTGGCTAACGCCCTGCCAAGGGGCAGCTTCCCTTAGCCTCTGCCTTAATTAAGAGATGGCAGTGGGCCCACCACCACGCAGGAGCAGAGAGGCCCAATGACCTCTATTAGAGCAGGGCAATTGCAGGCAGAAACGCCAGCTGGCAAATGTCTGAGCCCTGGAAAGCCCTGCCACCTGTGTCTGGCCCAGAGCCATCCAGTGAAGTGGTGGTGTCATTCTGAAGGCTCAAAACGAACTCTGGAAACCTGTCAGGACCCCTTCTTAATACGTGGAATTAAAATTCATTATCCTCCTTTTCTCTTGTGAGTGTTAAACAAAAACAAAACAAAACCTTACATGCATTTTATTGGAATGCTCCATAATTTAGCTTCACAAAAAAGTCTGGGATTTAATAGCTTCAATGTAAAATAAAAAATATTGACCTAAACAGTTAATAACTTCCCCAAATCATATTATATAAAAGTTTTCTCTGACTGTATTTCATGTAAGTAGGCAACCTATTACTTATTTATTGAGGATATATGTAGAACTCTTCCCCCCCAAATTATTATTCTTACTTTGAGTTATACTGACAATAAAATAAATACATCATTTTATTTAAAACATTAAATATAAAACCAAGTCTTATTGAAATCAATTATGATTTTAAAATAAATTGAACTATAAATAAAATTCCACAACATGAATAACATCTATAAGAAGGCATATTAATAAAAAAGAACTCTGTTCCACCACTTGTTGAGTAACTCTTTAAAAGCAGCTCAAAATATTATAAAAAGATAAATCTTTGCTTCCATATTATATAGGTGTGTGTGTGTGTGTGTGTGTGTGTGTGTGTGTGTGTGACTCATGCATATGCTGGGGAGTAATAGCAAAATAATAAAAGTTTTCTCATAAGAAGGAAAATAGGATAATTTCCTTAAAAACAAAAAGGAAAACTAGAGTTGGAAAAGGCAAGGAAACAGGATTCTCCCTAGAGTATTCAGAAAGGAATGTGGACTGGCTGACACCTTGACTTTAAACCAGTGAGAGGCATGTTGTTGTTCTGACATTCAGAACAGTATGATAACGAATATGATGTTTTAAGGCACAAAAATCACAAATGTATGGTTTTTGTTGTATAGGTATTTTTAGATGTCATTATGCATTCAATATTTTTAATCAAATTTAATTATAATATAAATTTGAAGACAGACTATTCACAAAAATTTAGCCTATGTTCATGTATATGTACACATATACAGATATAGTTATCTGTAGTAAAGTTTATAAAACTTGAATAATGAATATAATTTTTAATTTAACAAATTATGTTTGGATATAACATGTGTTTAAATTGTGGACCTGTAGAATTTGCACTTCAGTTTGGGTAAACGAGAACTGGTAAGGGATATTAATATAACAATATTTTACTTGATTTAAGTTATGTGTTTTTTATAATAAACTCTATAAACCATAATCCAACTTTTTTTTGTTTTTTTTTTGTTTTAAAGATTTTATTTATTTATCTTTAGAGGTAAAGGGAAGGAGAGAGGGAGAGAAATGTCAATGTATGGTTGCCTCTCGTGCGTCCCCTGCTGGGAACTGACCTGCAACCCAGGTCCTGCAACCCATGTGCCCTGACTGGGAATCGAACCGCAATACTCTGGTTCGCAGGCCAGCACTCAATCCACTGAGCTATACCAGCCAGGTCAACATTATTTTTTCTCAGATGTACTATTTTAGAGAATTGTTGGCAACTGATGTATTTGATAAAGTATTTTTTTGTGAAATATCTAACAAGTATCTTCATTATGTTCCCTAATGATCCAATAGTGACATGTAATGCTACCATTGTCATTCCTAAAACAGTAATTTCAAAAGTAATACTGTTTTGCTTATGCACCTATTTATAAGAGTAATATATGAACATTACATAGATATACAAGACCTAGAAAGAATATTTAAGTAGTGCTGTTCTCCCCTCCCCTCACACCCTACGGGTTTGTACTCTATTGTACCTTTACATAGGGAATTGTCAAAGAAAGAAAGAGAGGAGAGAGACAGAGAGACAGAGAGAAAGAGAGGGAAGGAAGGAAGGAAGGAAGGAAGGAAGGAAGGAAGGAAGGAAGGAAGGAAGGAAGGAAGGAAGGGAGGGAGGGAGGGAGGGAGGGAGGGAGGGAGGGAGGGAGGGAGGGAGGGAGGGGGAGGGAGGGAGGAAGGAGAAAGAAAATATATATTCTATAATGTGATGAGTTACTTAAACATTTCAGTATACTTACACTCTTATGTGCATATGTATATGTAAAATGTTGGGGTTTTAAGTAATTTTTATTAATAAGAAATCAGCATTTTAAGATATTGTGTTTATTTATTTTTAGAGAGAGGGGAAGGTAAGGAAAAAGAGAGGAAGAGAAACATCAATGTGTGGTTTTTTCTAGAGAACCTCCTGCCAGGTACCTGGCCCACAACCCAGGCATGTGCCCTGAGTGGGAATTGAACTGGTGGCCCTATGCTTTGCAGGCCAGCACTCAATCCACTGAGCCATACCAGCCCAGGACTGAAATCAGCATTTTTAATGATATTTTTATCTTAGTATAGCAAGAATCATGTATGTCCCCTCTCTTTTCCAATGTACTAACTTGAACTATTTCCTAAATATTGCAAAGTAAGTTTTTAGACTTCCTCTTACTTTTCTCTCTCTTCCTTAAGAAGGAAAGGGTGATATGAGTCTGAAAGAGACAGTTTAGTAACTGTGGCTTCCCTCTTTGGATCTTATACTCTGCATTATATCTACAATCATCCCCACTCCTACTTTCATAGGATACACACTCCAAGTAGTGTCCAATTAGAGGCTGTTTCAGACACTCACCTCTCTCAGTCTCCTGTATTAGAACTCAGGTGGCTCTAAGTGGTGTATGCCATTCAGATTCAGACTACAAACACCACAGTAAAATGGGACTGGAAGTTGAAAACTCATGGTGGCTACCTATTTCAGCAAAATACTTGTGTCCAGCTTTAGAAATGAGAGACTCATCTTTAGTTTCCATCTACACTTTTCCTTTATTAATAGCTTGCTTGGTTATGGATCCAGAAAAGAAAAAGAGGGATGATTACTCCCTTCAGACCTCAAATACTATCATAACGAAACATGTAAGAGTAGACCTAAGAGGCAACTCAGAGAAGACAAAGACATTAAGAAAAGAGAGGGAACGTGAGACACATGCTTCTAATTTTGGAGCCTAAAAATAAACTTATTTTAAAATAAATTTTGTGCTACAATGTTAGACTTTGTAATGGGTTTTTAAAAATTATTCATGACACACACCTTATCTACTCATACGTTCTTCACAGTATAGGTATTACGCAGGGTCTCTGAGCTCTATGCCTGCTTCTTTGTGCCCTGCACCTCACTTACTAATGAAGGTCAACAAGTTGAGTGTTTGTGGCACTTTGAAAGGTCCTATGACTTCATCTCTTAATGCTGTGAAATCTAGTTAAGGTGACGTAGACTATATGGCAGTATCCAGGCAGCGTACACTATTTGGAAGTCGAAGAACAGAAACAGAGTGCTTCCTGTACACTCTTAGCCTCCATCATCATGACTGCAGAATCGATTGTCATTGATTTACACATAAAATTGCAACATGTCTCTACAAATTGGATAATTGCAGTTGCTAAAATGCAGAAAAATAGGAGAGACAACATACTTTATTGTGTTAGTCCCACCTTTTCAAAATATTTGATTTCGTACTCCAGGATGATTCCATTGGGGCGATCCGGCTCTTGCCAAGACAAAGAGATGCTGTTCTTTGCAATCTTCCCTTTTTTTACATTGGTGACTGGAGAGGGGGCTGCAAAATAGTATAAATAAAGAGTCGCATGATTAACAGAACCCCAAAATTACAACTGTGTATAACATATATTGGCATTCTTAGAATGTACTATAATAAAAATCCAAAATAATTAATTTTTCTTTTAACCTGGAAATAATTTTTCTCTGTCTATATAATAAAAGATTTATAAATTGTAAAGCATTTTACAAATATAAATCAACTAAGTATCCTGAGAATTTTCTGTAATAAAACTGTAGTTACATAGAATCTTAAGTCTGCATTTTTCTAAAAGTTTATAAACATAAATGAATTATTTTACATTTTCTTAAAGAATAATGATGTTTTGGATGACCTGTTCTATCTTCTGTATTTAAAATCTATAGATTCTGTATAATACATACCATTATGCTATTAGATAAGTAATTATCTATATTACTACATTATAACATCTTTAAGGTTCTTTAACAACTATTATTTTTGATATCGTGTGGTCCCTATAATTATTATTAAATTAATATATTAAATACAGTGTGCTTTACTTCAAAATATATTGTAAAATATTTGGTATATCTCAAAAATGTGACAAATGAACATTTTCTATTGTTTACATTTCCCACAAATAATTCATGAGAAGTAACAAACACGGTGTCTGTTGTTATTTGTCAACGTCTATTAAATGACTACATTTATAATTAAAATAGAAAAAGTATGCTAATTCACATATGTCTGGATATTTTAAATTTCCAGGCTGTGACATCATAAAGGAGTATTGAATGATGCCATGGCTGGTGTGGCTCAGTAAATTGAGCGCCAGCCTGTGAACCAAAGGGTGGCTGGTTTGATTTCCATTCAGGGCACATGCCTGGGTTATGGGCTAGGTCCCCAGTAGAGGGCACATGAGAGGCGACCACACAGTGATGTTTCCCACCCTCTTTTTCTCCCTTCCTCCCTCTCTGCCTAAAAATAAATATGTTAAAAAAATAAATGTTGACTAATATTTTTCTGATGTAGATTACTTTTATTTTTGCAGCCTTTAGCTTTTATAAAAGACATAGAAAATACTATCATGGACTAAGAATGATATGTGTATGCGATACAGTATATATTGGCTATATGTATGCATGTAACATGTATATATGTGTGTATATATATATATATATGATGTTAAAGATGTCAGCCATAATGAACAGTGTATAACAAGAGTCATAGGCACATCGATATCAAAACATTATAAATAGCGTCACGTATCTCATAAAATTAAATTATGTACCTATATTCGATACATACATTTATATAAATATATACATGCATATATATGTGTGTGTATATATACATTTATGTGTGTGTATATAAAATTAATCAAGACTAGAACACAACCCAGAATTTCAGATAAGGATCAGCACCCTCTGCGACTGTTCTTCAGCAGCTTTGCCCAGGCCTTCAGCCCTCGGGCACTTCAGATACTCCTAAGGACCACTGCACTTGACATTCCTCACTCAGAGGTTCTTCTCCAGAGCTCTGTTCCTTTTCTCTGGGTTTCTCACTGAGACTTTGCGTGTCTACTTTACATCTTGAGCAACTAACTCACCTCATCCCTTCTGCTCACTATACCTTCTGCTCCTTCAGTGTTTTATTTTTCTCCTTAGCTCTTGCACGCACACCATCTAATATGCATGTCTTAATTATAATTTGCTTTTTTAAGTCCTATCAAGGTGAGTGTAATTTCTGTGAAGGCAGGAATATGTTTATTTTATTCACTGCTGACTTCCCCAGACTTAAGAGCAGTACTTGGGACAGAGAAGTGTCCAATAAGTACATATGGAATGAATGACTGATATTTAAAAAATGAAAGGAATATACAAAAACCTTATTTTTAAATTACTGTCAACAAACTTAACTGTTAAACTGAAGGGTGAAGAATGCCTTTTAATAAAATTAAAATAAAAAGACATATAATCTGTAAGAGAGCAAAATTTGTTAAGTTTCTCATGTTTTATAGACCTATAATAGGGTGATGATGACTTTGCTATTTTAATATGTACTTCTATTCTTTTAATCACAGACCTTTGTGAGATTCAGGTCCAAATACTACATATTTTCGGTCTTATTTTGTTTTCTTTAATATGTCCAAGGCCACAAAAAAATTCTGAAATTTTATAACACATAGTGGCATATAAAGACCAAATAATCTACAAGTACTTTCTTTTTAAAAAATATTTTATTTATTTATTTATTTATTTATTTATTTATTTATTTATTTATTTATTTATTTTTAGAGAGGGGAAGGTGGGGAGAAAAATAGGGAAACATCATTGTGAAGTTACCGCCTGCATACCCCCTACCGGGGACACAGCCCACAACCCAGGCACGTGCCTTGATTGGAAATTGAAGCGGCAACTCTTTGGTTTGCAGGCTGACACTCAGTCCAGTGAGCCACACCAGCCAGGACTTCAGGTCGTTTTGAAACTGCAGCTTGTTTACTCCCATGGAAGTTGTAATAGATCAGCATTTCCCCCAGTCACATTGTGGCATAGACTTAAAGTCCCTGTTGTTCCCTAGTGAGGACCAGTCATGCCATACTCTGTGCCATAGACAAAGCATCCAGAAGACAAGAAAGAAGAAAAAGTAAGACATGGAACCCTCTAGTTCATCAAAGTGTTTATAGCAAAGTAGCAAATTTACTGAAGTAGAAACAGTAATAGAGGCTTAGAGAAGACACTGAATTTTTTTAGCATGCTTTGATCATTATTAGCTTTATAAGTTGTCTTGAATTATGAATTACACTGACTTTTCCATTATTATTATACATTTATTGCATCATGTTAGTAAATATACAAAGTCTTGAACTTTCTTCACTTGCTTTACTACTTTACAACATTCCCTTTTTGATACCTGAATTTCTTAGACAATTCTTAGTTTTCACCTATAATACTTAATGGAGTTGCCACCTTTCTGTGCATAAGTTGCATTTCATTTGCATGCTCTAAGAAGGCAAAAATTAATTTGGCTTCATTCACTGTTATATTTCCAGAACCAGAAAATTATTTTTCATACACAGATTTAATAAATATTTGTGAAATGCATGAGTTACTAATGGAAAATACATGCATCATCACATATCACTCAAAACTGAGTTTGTCTCATCTTAGTTTCATATAATAAGATTTTATTAGGTGGAGGTTTGTGCTTTATTTTAAAACTTAATCAGTCATTTAATAAAATAATCAATCATTTTAGAGCAAAGATATCAAATAAGAATCAACACACACTTAACCAGCCTGAAGTAGAATACTTTGTTATTTACTTACATCCATCAAAGTTAAACAGAAATTATGTAGCTATCAAAGACTGCTTGATTTAATAACATCATTGTTTGCCAAACTTGGTTTTCTCAGAGGTTGAATACAGAGTGCTCTTTAAAAATGGTTCAGAATCAGGAGAGAAGCCCACTTCTCAGCTCAGAGTAGGTCAGGAATAATGTCCTCTCTGGCAAGACCATCTCTGCATCATTTGGATAAAAGCTGCTCAAAGTGTGGACTCTGACAGCTCCTGGGGACATGATGACGATGCCCAAATTGTGAGTGGCAGCACTCCTGTCCACTGCACGGTGCTTTACAGAATCAAAGGCATCAAATAACTGTAGCCAGATTCCTCAATATCAAGAGCATGTTTAATACATCCTATTCATTTTTCTCACTGATACATTTTGCTCATTCTTCACCTACTCAAACTTTTATTAAGTAAGCCTGGAACAAAATGAGAATGATGGCATAGAACATTTCGGCTTACTAAGTAAAACTGTTAACTTCCCTAGTGTTAGAAGAACAAAAAATACTAAAGGAATCAAGTTGTGAATAAAACAAAATAATTTACATAACCTTTGAGCTTTACCTTTTGTATATGTGGAAACATTCTAAATTATATCTGTACTGCAGTTTTTCTACTGGAGCTGACGTTTGAGTACCAGTATAATAATCAAAATAACCATCCTTTGGGCTAAAGTTCCCATTGTAGACTAATTAGTTTGTCTCTTTGATTTTTCTTAAACTTAAAATTTAACATAGGTTTGTATTTTCAGAAAGATTACAGTGATGGTGCAGATAGCTGCCATACACCCCATACCTAGATGTCCTCAAATGGAACATCCTACAACAGTGCATATCTGTCACCATCAATGAATCAATACTGATGCATTATTATTAACCTCAGTCCATACTTTATTTAGAATTCCTTAGTTTTTACTTATTATTATTTTTCTGCCCCAGAACCCCATGCTGCATACTATACTACACTTAGTCATCAAGTCTTCTTAGGTTCCTCTTAGCTATATTAGTTTCTCAAACTTCACTCAGTTTGATGACTTTGACAGTTCTGAGGCATACTGGTCAGGCATTTTGTAGACTATGTCTCCATTGGGATTGATTTGATGTTTTTCTCATGATTAGACTTACTTTAGTTAGCTTTGGGGGGAGAAAACTACAGAGGTGAAGTGTGTTTTCATGACATCATATCAAGGATACACACTATCAACATAACCAATCACTGTCATGTTAACCTTGATAATGTATGATTGTATTGATTTGTTTTCTCCACTGTGAAGTTATTCCTTTCTCTGTTTTTCTCTGCTGTGTTCTTTGGAAGGAAGTCACTATATGTTGCCACATTTAAGGGACAGAGAGTCATGCTTTACCTCCTTGAGGCTAGAGTATTTGGATAAATTATTTGGAATTCTACACAAGACACATGTCTATTTTCTCTTATTTATTTACTTATTTATTAATTTATTTATATCAGTATGGATACATGGCTATTCTTACAATTTGGTTCCTAATCTAGTAATTTATTTTTTGAGTCAAACTATTAACCTTGATCATTGAATACTCTTTCAGCTAGTTCTTATATTTTTTTAATGTATCCCCATAATTGTGAGTTTGTCCATTTCAGATATCACTTTCATACTTCCTGGCACTATAACATCAATTTCTCCGTGTTCATCGTGCTTATTTACTGGCTCAGCC